TATATATATATATATATATATATATATATATATATATAAGCCTAGATGTATTTGTAAAAATCACTCTAGTTGACATCAACTTACATAGTTGAAAATGATCTTTTAGTCTCAGCGACGTCAGAAAATTCACAGCAAATCAGAAAATTAGTCTGTTTTTATCTATGTGGTAAATTGATTCAAATGATTCTGATCACTTTCAAGAATCAAAGTATTATTTCTGAGATTAATATGATCTCAGAAGTCTTTAGCTTTCTGGGTGTAGACAAAGTTTCTTTGACAAATAAATGTAATTCTGCTGGAAGAGAGACTGCCTTATACACTATTACCATAATTAAATTCCCCTCCACACTAATTAATTTCAGTCCAGTCTCACACGGTGTCCTAATCTGAACCCTTTCTAGGATCAAAAATAGAGGGTAGGTTTGGGAACATGTCCGGACTTGTTCGGCCATGAGGTGGTCTCTAATTTACCAACCAAGATGAGTCGGACATGGGTGCTTTCACACTTGGTTCGATTGCTTAGTCCAAACCCGAGTTCGATTGCTCCCCCTCCCCCTCCCCCCACACGCTCGTCAGGAAAGTGAGTGAAACACACACAAACACACATTTTTATAAAATAATACGTCATTAATAGCGGTTCACTTCCGTGATTTGGTACGATTGCGTTCACATCAGCAGCGAACCGTACCGGAGTTCACTTGAACCGTACCCCAGACCACCCTTTTTAAGCGGACTCGGGTACGGTTCGTGGGTGCGCACTCGAGTTCGGAAGACCACGTTTACATCATCCAAACGAACCGAACTCTGATGTCAATCGAACCCCGGTGCGCACCAAAAGTGCTAGTGTGAAAGCACCCTGAGAAATGAATTACTAATACATAAGCTCTTCTACAACTTCAGGAATCCGAAAGCACCACGTACCACGAGGACAGCGCCTCTCCTCCTCCAGGTTTCCAGTTCTTTCTGCCGATTGGTGCAGAGGGTCCCCTGCGCCTGCCCTCCTCGATGCTGATTGGTCAGCACTCCCCTGAGCCCTCGAGTGACGAACAGCTGGCCTGCCGCTGGCTAAAAGTGAGTGAAAGAAAGCTGGTATTACTGTTTTGAGCCATGATGATGAGGTTGAAGACTAAATTAAATGCATTCCATAATATGTTTACAAGTGAAAAAAGTAAATGTATTAAAAGAGGAAATAATGTAACACTATTTGTTCTACGGCTGAGTCCATTTTTGCACAAATTCGGTTAGACTTACTTTAAAAGAAAGACCCGAGCCATGTTTAGAGACCAGAATATAATAGAGACCAAGTAAAAAACTACCTAGAAACCAATTAACAATGCACTAAATTCACTCTGAACAGCAAACTTGTATCCGTTTCTTTCTTCTGCTGATATTTTGAAGAATGTGGGTAACCAAACAGCTGACGGTAGCCATTGACTTCCATGTACAATGTAAGTCAATGGCTACCGTCAACTGTTTACCCAGTTGTTTACCAACTGATTACCCACATTCCTCGAAATGGCTTCTTCTGTGTTCTACAGAACAAAAATAAATAAATAATCAAACAAGTTTGGAACAGCTTGAGAGCGAGTAAACAATCACAGAATTTTCATTTTTGGGTGAACTATTCCTTTAAGCGCATGATGTTAGATATTAAAAGAGCTATTCATAATCTATTCATTCTGTGCTCCTTATCTTCCTCCCTGCTCCTGCTATGCTCTCGATCTTGACTCTGTAGTGCCATCTGCTGTTTGAGAGCCTGCAGGATCTGGTGGACCATGTGAATGACTGGCATGTGAAACCAGAGAAGAATTCAGGATACTGCTGCCACTGGGAGGGCTGTGCGCGCAAGGGAAGAGGCTTTAATGCCAGGTCAGACAACATACACACATTCATAGGATTTAAGCACAAAGCAGTTAGAATTCCACCCACTCCAAGATATTGAGAAACTTTAAAGCCTGTCTGATGCTTGCTCTTGGATGGTGTGCATACGGTATATAAGCACTAATCCGGGATCTATTTGCTTACGCAGGTATAAGATGCTGATTCATATCCGTACTCATACCAACGAGAAACCTCATCACTGCCCTACCTGCCACAAGAGTTTCTCACGCCTGGAGAACCTGAAAATACACACCCGATCACACACAGGTGAGAAACACACTTTTGCAATACAGAAAAAATGCAAACACAGATATGGTACAGACATAAAATCCAGTTGGCTCACATTTAAACAAGAATAGGTTTTCACAATACTGACATTTCAGACGTAGATACCAGTTTACAAGTATCATTTGACAACTCTTGATATCAGCTTTGAAACCATAGAGAAACAACTATTATGCTGTTCAAGACATTGATTTATTTAAAGACTTACATATTAATGCTAATATTAAAAAATAAAGCAATGTCATATAGCCTTAAAATATTTTAAGTAAATGTTGCTTGATGTTTTTCCGGTGTCTAACAGCAACATTCAGTAAACATTCAGATATTTAAAGTATAATACAAAAGTAAACAAATGTAAAGTATACAGTTACAGTATTCATTAAGTTTACAATATATTTAATTGTAAATTATATACAAAATATAAAAATATGAATTTATACATACATTATTTTATGTAATAATTAAATGAATAATTATAGTATAAATACATATTTTTACATCTTTGTATATATTTTGTAATTCAATCTATTTTTATATTTATAAATCTATAGTCTACAACGCTCTTTGTACCAAATTGAGTCTGTAGATTTAACTGTAGGATTAAGGCCTATTCACACCAAGAACGATAACTATAAAGATACCTATAATAATAACTATATTAGCATCCACACCAACGGATGAAAACATTCTGTTTATTATAAGCATGTGTTTGGGGTAACGTGAGTTAGGTAATCGGATTACTTCTTAAAGTAACTAGTAAAGTAACACATTACTTTTTAATTTACAAGAAAACATCGGAGTTACTTTTTCAAATAAGTAACGCCAGTTACTTTGTCCTCTCATTGACTGACTGACAGCTCTCCTGTTCCCAGAGAAATCGGGAGTAAGTGCAGAAGCGTTGTGTTCACTGTGTAAACATAATGTTACTGTAGCTCTAGACTAAATGTGAACATGCATTTATCATCTCACTTGCCCAAAAAACGATTCAGTATTTCTCAAAATGAATAAAAACAGCTAAATGCAAACTCAGAATTTGACTGCAATAATTATGTTGAATAACACAATTATTCTTTATGTACTTAATCCATTTTATTAACCAATGTCTTTGCTGCTGACCTTTGATGATCCAATTCAACCATACTAATAAGTGTAAAAAAAAAAGAGAAAAGAAATTTAGTAGAACTTTCTTCTACTGTACAGACATTAATTTACATTTCCTAAAGCCTGAGGTGTATTCATTTCACTTTTGGCGTAAAAGGTCTTTTACCTTTGCCAAAAATATAACTTTTTTATATTAAAAACAAACAAGCAAGCCCAGCCCAGATGAGAAAAAGTAATGCAAAAGTAACATATCGCATAACTTTCCCTAAAAAGTAGCTAAACTAAATAAGTTACTTTTTAGGAAGTAATACAATATTGTAATACATTTATTCCCCAACACTGATTATAAGCATGTGCTGCAGTTTTGCATGTGCCACTTTAAATGCTCAAGCTTTAAATGCTAAAGCAGGATGGATTCTGATTGGCTGTCAGTGTTTTTATCGTTCATCAGCTCGAAAAAAATAACAAAGAAATTCCAACAATATCGTTCCTCTGTGTCGTTATCGTTATAGCTGTGGTGTGGACTGCTATTCGTTTATTAATTGTTATTATAGTTATCATCCTTGTTGTGAATGGGCCTTTTGACTTTTATTGTTTGTTTTTTATGTAAGCGTGACCTTAATACCAAAATACCAGTACTTTTTGTCACACATCCGCATTTTCCCACACAAAATGACAAGTCTCTACAGGCCTGTGCCGTCTGGTTGTGACTGTCTGACCTCAGCTGTCTCGACCCCTGCATTCCTCTGGTACAGCCTTTGATTATCTCTTGCTCTTCTGCCCTCTCAGGAGAGAAGCCGTACATCTGTCCTTACGAAGGCTGCAACAAGCGCTACTCGAACTCCAGCGACCGCTTCAAACACACGCGCACACACTATGTGGATAAACCCTACTGCTGCAAAATGGTGGGCTGTCTGAAGCGCTACACCGACCCCAGCTCTCTCCGCAAACACATCAAGGCCCACGGCCACGCCGTAGTGCAGGACCGCACCGCCTCGCCCAGAACCAACAGGCTGGATTCGGATGGTGCCTCATCGATGGATGGCCGACGGATGGATCGTTCTTACCCAGGAGCGGCTCGTTTCGTCTTACCGGGTGCGGCGACAACCTTATTTGGGGCTCACGCCTTCGCCGGGGCCCTTAGCAATCACCCCCTGGATCTGTCCAGGCTCAGTCCGCTTTTAGGAGCCGGGCCGGTGCTGTACCCCAGCTCTGGTGCTCTTGGGCTTGGGAAGGTACCTATCCTGCACCCCTTGTTGTTGCCGCCATTCGGTCTCGGCGTGGGTCAAGCTGAAAGAGCGGTTGAGGAAGAAGATGATGTTGATGATGAGGATGAAGGCAGGATGGGAGCAGGACGGGGCCCTCACTCATGGGTCGTGATTCCTCCGGGCATGCTGTTCTTTAAACAGGTGGCGACCACGTAAAGAGACTCATGGGCCTTGTTCACACTGCACACCAATCTGATTTGGATTCAAATCGGATTACGGTGTCATTTTGCGAGTGCTGAAATCACATCAGTTATGTTATGTCCCAAAAAAACTACTTGGAAAAATGTTTGTTGAGAGTTCAGACTTTGTTTGGATTTTGAACTGTTCACGAATTTGGTGTGAATCCCAGTTTGTCTGTTTTCTGTTCACACTACAAAAACTAAACCGGTTTCACATATTCCAAAAAACGCTAAACAAAACCTTATGGGCCATTCACACCAGTGACAATAACTATAATGTTTTAAATGAATGAAATGATGTTGTTGGAATCACTTTCAGGACGATCCATTTTTCCAGCTGAGCTTGAAAAATGGATTTATCTTTCCTGAGCTTGAGTATTTAAAGCAACTACAGTGTTTACCTACAATGAACAGAATGTTATTCTTCATTTATGTGAACGAAGATAGTTACTGTTATAGTTATCTTTATAGTTATTGTTCCTGGTGTGAGCCATTAGTCACTCACTTTAGTACTTGCTATTCACAAGGAAAGAGGTGCTAGCTTTTAGGGAAATTACACAATGTTTAAATAGTCAAAACAAAGTTCATTCAAATTAATATTCATGCACCATCTGTGTGCAATATTAATCAGTGTGTCATCAAAAATGTCAGAACGTATGTAATGTGATGTTGGTAAGAAATTCCTAGAAGGTGGTCCTTCATAATTATAGTATGCTGATTTACCTAAGAGTCTCCTGGAGGCTATTTAGAGTGACCAAACAGAGAACAGGATGTGACATGAAAAGCATACCGTCATGGCCAAAAATATCGGCACCCTTGGTAAATATGATCAAAGAAGGCTGTGAAAATTAATCTGCATTGTTAATCCTTTTGATCTTTTATTTTAAAAATTCACAAAAATCTAACCTTTCATTGAATAATAAGAATTTAAAATGGGGGGAAATATCATTATGAAATAAATGTTTTTCTCTAATATACATTGGCCACAATTAACGGCACCCTTTTATTCAATACGTTTTGAAACCTCCATTTGCCAGTTTAACAGCTCTAAATTTTCTCCTATAATGCCTGATGAGGTATTTTTGATATTCCTTCTTGATATACCGATATTTTTGGTCATGACTGTACATATGACACACTTCTTTAGAATTATACTAAAAAGCACCTGCTGTGAGCTAACAAAGAAACATTAGCCTGTGTTCCACAACTATAGGCCGGATATGTTCATTTATTAAAACAAAACAAAAATAGAACACTAAAATACGAAGTTTTAAATGCTACACGTGAATTTAGGCATCATTGTAATGTAAGTATGGAAAAAGAAGATATTCATATTGAGATTACTTTTAAAAGTGTCATTCAGTTTGTGGTTAATGTTAAATTAACGTTAAATGAGCGTTAGAAAGCAAAGCTAAATCTAAATAAAAAATAGGTTAAAATGAGGATGCACAATTAAATGTCTTTTAAAAAGTTATTGATTTTGTTCATTAAAATCTAAAAATCTCTTTATGGTCTGTATTGTAGCGTCTATAAAACCAACTAGTTGTTAAAGCAGATGTGTAATTTATTCGCAAATTTTGATACCAGTACAGTATGTTTCTCACAACCAAAAAGGAACCAATTCGGGACATATAGTTACATACAAAGTTATATTTTAATAATAACTTAATCAGCGAAGATGTGCACCCTGATTGCTATAAGTAATCATCAGCTCGAGTTTTCATTATTAGCCATTTAATGGTGCAGCTTTATGTTTTATACGTTTTCAACGACGAGACATTGACTGTCAAAACCGTGTCATATGATGACATGAGTCCACTTGGACTCAACTACTTGTTATCCATTATTTAGTTCTGTGGCTAGCGGATTGGTAAACCTTTATGCATGGCTGACCTTTTTCATTTAAATGTAAAATCGGAGCCCGGGTTTGCATTGGGAACCGCATATGTAATGTTGTATAGCTCTGATTTGATATCTGCCATGCATAATGGATAAATGCTAAGACTATGGTCTGTCACGGTCAGCTTGAGTATTGTAATGAACTATATTTGCACAGGATGTTTTATCGAATTTTTACCAAAACAAAGTGCCTTATATTGTAAGGTTGTTCTTGACGAAATACAATGTATGAAATACATTTGGATGTATATTGTCAGTTCATGTATGTATATTTTACCAGAGTTAGTTCAATAGGCTTCTATCGTAAATGTCTTTTTTACACGTTTTCCTGACGTTGAGGCTAATGCCTCTTGAAGTTGAGCTAATGCTAACGTGTCTTACCATACCACAGGACGTCTGTCAATGTGACCGGAATGAAAAGTATGAAATACAGGACTATGATGCATAAGTCCAATAAAGAGTGTAATGACTAAAGTGTGTACAATGTTATTGTTTTGTAAAGGAGATTTACATTTATTTTTTACATTGTTTGGTTAGTATAATGTAATCAGCTGAAGCCTATTTTGTGTTAATAGTATTACAAATGGCAAAAAAAAAATGTTTAGACCGAAAATGTATGGTATAATTCATTGTGATCTCTTTTAAAACACCCATAAAAACTAGCCCAGCCCCCCATCCTCAGTGAACACCTGTATGAGGTGGGAAGGGGTGGGGCCACCTATAATTCTACAGCAGCTTGAACTCTTCAGGTTCTCATCTAAAAGGGCCATTGATTGCCCTGAATCCAGATGCACACACACCACGACATGGAGGCGAAACTCTCCAACAGAAATGGCTGGAAGAGGTGAGCTCATACTTGCTTTTGTCTTTTATGATTTAAAACAAACTATGCAAAAAAAAAAGAGATATGTAGATATATTATGGTCATCTGATATTTTATTTATGCAATGGTGTGGTAAACTGCAACTGCACGGAAATAAAAAAATATGCTGAACTGATCATAACTCATAACTACATTCATTTAGGGACAACTTACAAAACCATAAATGTAACCCTCTTTGTTTTATAAAACTATTAGGCAGCGGATCTTTGCACTAAGTGTAAATAGCGATGGATTCTATTTACACTATGATAAAATAGCAGTATTTTCTGCTATTTACACTAATTGCAAATAGTGGCAATTATCTGCACCTCAGTATGGTAGTACATTATAAAACAGTATGCAATAAATAACGTCGAAAAATTGTGCTAAAGGGGTAAACTGTCAAAAAGTGACTCCAAAGATAGCTATAGATTCTATTTACACTATGTTAAAATAGCAGGATTTTCTGCTATTTACACTACTTATTGCAAATAGTGGCAATTATCTGCACCTCAGTATGGTAGTACATTATAAAACAGTATGCAATAAATAACGTCGAAAAATTGTGCTAAAGGGGTAAACTGTCAAAAAGTGACTCCAAAGGGTCCTGACCAAGCGTCAATATGTGACGAGTTGGGAGTGATAATTTGTTTTGCAATTTACACTTAGTGCAAATAGCCGCTGCCTTAGTTGAATCACCTGAACGTAAGAAGGAACTGGCTATGATACAGAGTTGGTGAGTCACTAACTAAACATAACTAAAGCTAATGACAGAGTGAGTAAATTCAGCAATTTTTAAAGTAGTGAAGCTTTTTCAGTAAGTACAGGAAGGTGCACATTAGCAAAATTTCGGTGAAATTTCTCTAACACTTTAGAATAGGGAACACTTGTTCACTATTAACTACGACTTTTCCCTCAATAAATTCCTAATTTGCTGCTTAATAGTTAGTAAGGTAGTTGTTAAGTTTAGGTATTGGGTAGGATTAGGGATGTAGAATAAGGTCATAAGGCATTAATATGTGCTGCTTACTACTAATAAATGGCTAATATTCTAGTAAATATGCATACTAATAAGCAACTAGTTAAGAGACCCTAAAATAAAGTGTTACCGAAATTTATATCACCTAATCATGTATGAAAGCACAGAAGTCACTTTCAAACTAAGCAACTAACGCAGAAATTCTGCGTGGATTCCTATTAAAATGACCGAATTTCAAATGTGAAAATTCTAGTAAATCGCTTCATTCTAACGATTCTCTGTCTCTGTGTGTAGCGTTGGAAAGTCTTATTGAATCTAGTAAATCGGTTCGTCTAAAATGTCTTCTACATCATGTAGCGTCTAAAGTTCGCTAAACAATAATCTTATGTTTGGGAATGATTTAGAAAGACGATATATAATTTTTAAAATTTTATATTGGTATTTTATTATAGGCGTATAGATATTTTTTAACTATGGGGTACACATTCTATTATTAAAGGATGGACATGATGGAGATTACTGAACAACAAAACTGGACATCTAGTGAAATGAGTTAATGAGTTTCTGCTATGATTTATAATTCACGAGTCTACTTACCTTATGAAAGCTTATTCTTATACGATTTCAGCAACTTCACACCAGCAACTTATCAACACCACTATCACCAAATAACTTTGCATGATATACCATCAAGGTTCAACGCAGCTTAAAACAAGCTTACCTCTTTCCAGCTGTTCGCAGAAAAAATACATGATACAACATTTGTATTTCAGTGGATGTATACTGTGGTGTTTTTATAGCAAAAAAAAAATGTAGAGGGTTTAATTTGGCCATCGAACAATTAAATTAAAACTAGTGCAATATTTGTCTCTGTAATTACTGTGCAAATATACACTTGTTCTGTGTTTAAGTCCAACTTGTTCCCCCCTTGTTCCATGTAGTTACAGGGTAAGTGGCTACAACAAATTGCTCTGAAACGATTGTTTATACATTAGGTCATACATATATACATTATATTATATATCAGGTAATGTATCAATAAACATTGTGGACTGTTTTATTTTATTCAAATATTGTTTGCAATTTACTATAGGCCTACTGCTGGGTTAAATTAACCCAAAATGGGTTTTAAAATTAAAATCACACACAATATGACAACAGTAACAACACAGGCAACAGATAGCCTAATAAAAGATTAAAATATATTACACCAAAAGTCAAGATTAAACTGTGTATTATAGCGAACTGACAGGATTTTACTGTCTTTGATTTACCTTTTTGATCCACGTCCTCAAGCACTATTTTTATGGGATTACATTTTGACTAACTTAGTTCAGTTCCCAGTTTTACCGCTCATCAGTCGCTGCTCAATGTTGTGAGAACATACTCGGACAAAACCCTCCAGTTTTAAAAGAACACGTTCTAGTCAGTTTCAAAAATCTCTCTCCTCTTCGTGTCGATTAGTTTTCTTGTATTTTCTACACATATTCCTGTCATGAGTGCCGCAAACA